TATTATCTATGACTTGATACTTTTGACTTTTTAAAAGTTAATAATCCTATGATAAAAGATTTGGCAAATTATTTTTCTAAGCTACATGTAACAATGAAAGTATAATTAAAGGAAGCTCAAGAATGACAAAAGATCAATATGGATGCTTATCAAAAGAAACAACTGCAATTCAATGTAGGTAACAAGATATGGTTACTTTGTCGTAATATTAAGACTACTTGTCCTTATGATAAGTTGGACTATTGTAGGCTTGGAACTTTTTCTATTTGTTAATAAATCAATACAATTACTTATCAATTACATCTATCAAAGTCAAAGAAGATCCATCTTATCTTCCATGTATCTCTTCTTAAACCATACAAGACTGTGAACACACTAAGAAGAAGATAAGTCCCACCTTCTCTTATAAAAGTGGATAATAATGAAGAGTTTGAAATAGAAGAAATTCTAGACTCAAGGCAAGACCAAAATAAATTAAAATATCTTGTCCATTAGGATGGATATGATATTAAAAAATATACATGAAATCCAACAAAGAATCTTACAAATGCAGCAAAGATGGTGGAGGCTTTTCATCAATGATATCCATCAAAATTAAGATAAAAGATAGCAAACCTTTGCTATAAATGAAACACAATTCAAAAAAGATTACATTCTATCTTCTATCTTTGTTTGTAATTTCTATATAATTGTAGTATCAAAGAAATAGAGAATCAACAATTGATAAATTCAACTTAAGAACCATCATTTATTGACTTATCGAATGAGACATTGTGATTATTATAGCCTTCAAGATGACATAATAGGAATGAAGACCTTCAAAAATGACATATTTTTCTTTGAATAGATAGCAAGATACAACGCATTTGATATCATGATCTAAAAAAAGACTCTCGATGTTTGATAATTTTATTGGAGGTAGGTACAACTTTTGATGGTATTGCAAATGTTTTGTTTGAAAGAAGTTACAAAGGTTTCAACAATGATCAAATCATAGGATGGTCTTCTTGCCTTGGAATGGGACATTATCGATGGCTGAATGGACCTATCAACTACCTTCAAAAGGAACAAAGATCAGAGTATGTGGCAATTATAATTTGCTGCATCTTAGACTTTCTCAATATATAATCACCGTTCCTTGTGGAATTTGTCCCTAAAAAGGTAAATAATATCACAGATATATATCTATTATAATTATTACTTATGTAAGTAGAATTAAGTAAAAATAGAATAATTTCATAATACATTCTAGAGAAGCTTTCTAAAAGCTTCTTAAATGATGTTTTGACTTTATATATATTTTTAGTTGATTGATAGATTAGAAAATTGATTAATAAGCTATCCATGTGCCACATGTGTTGATAGCTTATAAAATAAGCTAATTATGTGGTTGCTATATAAAAACTTAGATTATAAGTCAAGATACATGTCATACAAAGTCAACACGTTTTTGAGGTCTTATAGAACATCACCACATATATCCTAGGTAGATAATATATATAGAGGCAAGAATGAAACCTTCTTCATTCTTGTCAACTCCTTTCTTGCTTCTAGTCTAGATTCAAGAGTCTCTAGTTTTCTTGTCTTTTGGCAATAGTCGTTCTAATTTTTTTTTAATATACATATTATTTTATTTCTATTTTTTCTCTTTTCTTTTGACACAAATTTTTCAAGTTTATGCATCTTCTTCTAATTTATGTCCTTGATACATTCATGATGATGTTTTTGACTTTTTAAAAGTTAATAATCTTGTGGCAAAAGATTTCAAAAATCATTTATTTAAGCTACACAAAATAATAAAGGTGCAACTAAAAGAGGCTTAAGTACAACAAAAGAACAACATAGATGCCTATTGCAAGCAACAACCTCATTTCCACATTGATGATAAGATATGATTACTTCATTATAATTTTTAAACTATTCGTCTTTATGAGAAGTTGGATTATCATAGATTTAGATAATTTCCTATTTGTAAATAAGTCAATCTAGTCGCTTATTGATTACATCTATTGGAGTCTATAAAAATCCATCTTATATTTCACATGTCTTTTTTAGAGCTATATAAGATAGTGAATATCTTAGAAAAAAGACAAATACCATCACATCTTATAAAAATAATTAATAATCAAGAATTTGAAATAAAAGAAGTGTTAGACTCAAGGCAACGTTCATTTAGGTTGAAATATCTTATTCATTGGTGCAGATATAATATTACCAAATGTACATGGAAGCCAACAAAAAAATCTTATAAATGCATCTAAGAAGATCAAAGCTTTTCATCAACAACATCCATTAAAATCAAGATGAAGAATAGCAAATCTTTGTTATAAAAGAAACACAATTTAAAAAAGATTGCATTCTATCTTTTATCCTTATTTGTAGTTTCTCTATAATTGTTGCATTAAAGAGATGAAGAATCAATAGCCAGCAGATTCATCTCAAAAGCCATCATTTATTAAATTACCAAATGAGATATTTCAATTATCACAATCTTCAAGACAATATAATAGGGATGAAGACCTTCAAGAGTAATTTGTTCTTCTTTGAATAGATGGTAAGATACAATATATTTGGTATTACGACCTAAAGAGAGAAACTTGATTTTGGTGATTTTATTGGAAGTAAAAACAATTCTTAATGGTGTTACATATATTTTGTTTAAAGAGAATTATGAAGGTCTTAATAATGATCAAATAATAGATTGATTTTTTTGCCTTGGAATGAAACACTACCGATGGATGAGAGGACCTATCAATTATCTTCAAAAGAAACAAATATCAAAGTAAGTAGCAAATACAATTCATTACATCTTAGACTTCCTTGACATATGATTACTTCTCTTTATAGAACTTGTCTTTAAAAGGGAGATTAATGTTATGGACATATATTTACTATAATTATTATTTATGTAATATGAATATGTAGAAATATATAAAAATAGATTAATTTTATAATATCTTCTAGAAAAGCTTTCTAAAGGCTTTATAGATGCTACTTTAATTTTACATGTATTAGTGATTGATTGGTAGGTTAGAAACTTGGTCAACAAGTTGACCACATGCTATACATATTGTTAGCTTATAGAACAAGCTAACTATGTAGCATCCATATAAAAAACCTATCTTGCAAGTTAAGATACGTGTTATACAAAGTCAACACATTTTGGAGGTTCTATAGAACATCACAATGTAGTTTCTAGGTAGATAGTATACATAGAGGTAAGAATGAAGTTTTCTTCATTCTTATCAATTCATTTCTTTCTTTTAGCTTGGTTTTAAGTAATTTTTTATTTTCTTGTTTTTTGGCAATAGCCATTCCAATTTCTTTTTAATATACATGCTTCTTTATTTCTATTTTGTTATACTTCTTTAAAATAGTCTTACTTATTTATTTGTTTTCATTGAGTTCTTGTCCTTGACACCTTCCAAATAACTACCATCTACATTAGAGGACTATCTGGGATAAGTCTTATACCAACAAGGAAGAAGGTCTAGTCTAATTACTATGGCATTGCACCATTGCAATTAATACATGGTAGAGGCAATTTAATTACATAGTCACCTTCCACTACCTAATCTACCCTTGAAGGATTGATGAGTCACTCTTCTACTCTTTTTAGAAGTATTCTTCTATCCAATGAATGTGGCAATGGAACATTCATATTCTTAACTTATTTATTCATGGCTTAAATGCAATGGAGCCATAGCAAACTCTACCATAGCAATAAGGATCTTTTTGTGACCACATTCCTTGGAAATTTTGCTAATTTAGCTCTATGTGGTCACAAATTCAGCCAGTGGTGCTTTGATCAATCTCGAGAGAAAAGAACAATGTGGTGTTCAATAATATATTCTAGCCACTAAAGAAATTACTCCAATATATTTGGTTGGGATTAATCAATTAAGAAAGGATAGAACGGTCTATTGCCATGAAAACTAAGAAAACACAACTAAAGGCAAGGTCCAAATTTATTAGGCACTTTATAAAAAGGTGGTGTTGTCAAGGACTCTTCTTATCCATGCTCTAAGATCTTGTCCTTACAGGGCCCATAGTGGGGTTTGTGTTTCAGCCTCAGTAGACTAGAATTGGGCATCCACATCCAGGTAGACATCAACAACTTCACAACAAGCTGCCCAGAGTCAATCCAGCGCATCATATGTGGTGTCACTCATTCCAATATTATGTTACTAGCTATCTTACCACACTTGTCCTTTGGTCTCAGCCCAAGCCACTTGTGACTGGGCTGGTTGTATTATGATTCTTGATGGCAATGAAGTTCTTTCATTTGTTTCAAAAAAAAACAAACAAACAAACAGGTACTCAATTTGCACTTATACTCTTTTTACTTCATATGTATGACATTCATTTGTGTTTCCACACATAGATGTCAGGTAACTCCCTCAAAGTTATTGGTAGAGGGGATACAAGGTTAAGGCTTTGGGGTATTTTTTTCATAAAAAAAATACACACACAAAATCAGTTTGAGCCATGAGACAAGCTTAAAGGTTTATGGTTCATTCAAGTGTGTAGATGCGGGGAGCCATTAGAGAGTTCTGTTCATCCGGTACCAAGTACCAGCAAGGTACCAACTGCCGTTTTGTTACACTTGGTAGCAAAAATAAGAGTCTTCCGAACGATTACTGCTTTTTGAAATTAGCAGTGTACAAATTTTCATCGGTAAGGAATCTCCATCGAACTACTCATTTGATGCAAAGTAATTTAGACAGTTTTACAAACAGTACAAGTATGGATTTAAGCCATTGACTGTTACAAGGACAATTGATCTTCATTACAGAATTCAATTTTCTTAGGGCCCTAACTATAGTTTGTTGCAGTATAACCTTGCAGAATAATAAACACAGTAGTAAAGTTACATAAGCAAGCAAACTGCATATTAAGTATTAAACTTAAAGTATTAAAAATGTTGACAATATTGTTTCGGTGAGCATGGACGAAATCGTTAGAAATGTCAACGTACATTAGAATACAAGAAAAACAGGTGAAGAAAAGTAGTCACTTAATGAGGAGGAAGCCCTGATTGGCATAATCAAAATGCTTAAAATTCCAGATTTTACACTATTTAAATGAATGAGGTGCCCGACATGATCGTGAAATTTACAAGGCACTGGCAACTCTTCTTGGGCTGAACGGAAGTCAATACTGAGTGAGGATTTCAGCAGACATATCATCCTAAATAAATACAATAGTAAAATAGAACAGTAACTGAAGACAAGGCTCTTATTTCCGCACCACTTTAGCTGCACTGTTCGACCGATCTCTCAGAGGAATTCGAGGCAATTCATTCTGAGCCTTGGTTTGAAAACCAGTGATTGTAGTGTTGGATGCACTCTCCCTTCTTCCACTGGACACTCGATTAGGCCTCGGGGCAACGGCCTTCACAGATCCTTCAATGTTTGTAACAGAGAGAGAAGCAGGTCTAGGAGCTGATCCCCTATGGACATGCCCTTGAATATCAGTCTCTTTAATGTTCGTGACAATTTTTGAACACAAAGTGCCAGATTTGATGTTTGCGGTGGCACCGTTTGATGTCTTCATGGAAGGCACTACACCGGCTTTTGGTCTCTGTCGCTTTCTCTCTTCAGCCGACGTTGAGAAGGGCACCTTTTTGCCAATGCAACTGAGCGAGACAGGAGAAGGATTTGTATTCACCTTCTTTAAAACCAGACCTGGCATGATTGACATGATAGACTGTTGCTGCTGGACGGTTTCCTTCAGCTTCAGATCAGCTGCTTGTCGAACGGCTGAGGGAGCACATGGCGGCAGTTTGTCCAGATTTCTGATTGCAGGTTCCAGATGGGGTTGTGAAAATTTGTTACTAGAGAACATACAACCGAATAATTTCTTATGGCAACTAGTGTGGAAAATTATAAGCCATTGAAAGCAAGCAAGGTTGAGTTTAAGAAAAATTAGGGGAAAGCACAAAGGGCGCATAGTACCTCTTCTCAACTTCGAATCTTCGTTCCAATAAGATGGCAACATTTTGCAATCTTCGTATTGCGACCATATCCTGCTGAATGACATCCACGCAACCCGGTGTGCGACTAACATGCTGCAAAATCCTCATGGCCTTCGAAAAGACTACTTCCTTGTTTCTGTGAACACAGATTTATTTGTCAGAATAAGACACCAAGGCTAAAGAAAAACATTCCCACAAAAATCTCCACATAATGTAAAACCCATAAGGAGAGTCCTAGGCTTTTTGCCTGAAGATTAAAAGTTGCTCTACGATGATGTTGACCGAGTCATGTTCACTCGCAACTGAGAATGCCAGGTTCGGAAAACGGGCAAGGTTGCCAAGAATGGAAAGAGCGTGCTTGAGAACTTGTTCATGTGGTGGACTTCGATTGACAGTTTGGATGAGCTGCAACAATTTGTTCACAGCCCCTCCTTCAGCCAAGCGTTCACAACATAGCTTTGAATGCTCCGTGGCCATGTCTGCAACCAATGTAATGATTGAATGAAAAGCAACCGTTAATTCGCCACCAACCAGAGAGAGGACTACTTTACCGAAGCAGACATAGATCAAAGAGTATTGTCCAAGTTTCTATGGATCAATGCGGAAGAGGATGAGTTAAGTACCAATAGTGGCACAGGTATGAAGAATTCCGCTGACAGTCTTCTGGCTTAAAAGTTGCGACAAAGCCTCGGTGAGTCGGTTACCCAACCGCTGGCTGTTGTCAACTGTTGCGGCTGTGCTTTGCATACGCAGTCGCAACTCTTGCATATGCTGCTCCATCCGACTACGCCCTGATCTCCATTTGTGTCCCCGCCAGTGTGCCTAAACAAAAGGAATAATTAGATACAAGTGTCCAACCGTAACTCGTTGTTAAGAAGCACCAGAGGCATTCACTCATGAAAGGTGATGAGATCCACGAAATCTTGAACATAAAAGATTTCGAGCAAATTGGTTAGTTATTTTTCAGTAATTTCGAAGAATCCGCTCACAAAGACATGAAGCTTAAAATCATCATACCAACAGGTAACATAGTATTGGATAGCAGCAAGGAGTGAAGATCATGGCGGACCTGAATTCGACAAACACAATTAATGACCACGTTGAAATGCTGGCGGGTTTTATGACCGCGAAATGTTTTCTGAATGGTAATGGCTGCACTTCGCATCACCAAAAACCGAAGCCTGAGAATCAGTGCTTTCGCCCACGAAGTCAGTATTTTAGCAGCTTCATGCTCTTGAGGATTGCATCCCCATGTCCGGGCTTCTAGGTCCACTACAGCACACCCACCCACAAGATGCTCTGGACGACGAATGTTCTCGTTCTTATTCACAAGTTGCCTTCCCAAGTGACCGTGAATGACACAAGCTGTTGCGTCTGTAGCTTGTCGTGAAATTACATGTTCAGTGATACTAGTATTATTCATCCTCCTCTGTAAACAGCCCCGCCAAATAGACTGGATTCTAACAATAGCCAGCAACTCCTCGTGATTCAATCTGGTTTGAAAATATCCCCCATACGAGTCCTGGGTAGTGACAGGTGCATATTGCAGGTTTTGCAGCTGCTTCCTGTGAAACTGAAGGTAAATACGAGCATGCTTCTGGAAGCACATTGCAGCAAGATTTTCAATTTCCATCTTCCTCTTCACAAGGAATCCTCGCCAGTATGATTGAAGCATGATTACTGCTAACCGCATGTCTTTGAACCGCTTCCATGAAAGATGACCCCGAATTGTTGCCTGCAATAAAATGATCCGGGATCGATATGATACATACCATTTCCTTCCACGAAGACAACGGTACCATGATTGAATCCGTACAGCAGCCGCGTGCTTCTCTTTCACAATCTTTCTCATCTTGTAAGTATGCCAAATAGACTGAATATGTCCGGCAGCGTATCGTTCCACTCGCAACCTATTCCTAACAATCGCGCCTCTGAAGGCGGCTTGAATCTGCGCAATCCGAAGCATTTGGGCTTTATGGTGTTTTCTGTGCATGAATCTCCGAAAATGCCATTGAATCGATGCGACTGCGATTCTCCATCGGTGGACAAGCTTCCTGACGCAATATCCTCGCCACATAGCTTGAACATTTGTGATGTACTTTGCATCACGTCTGCTTCGCACTCGCACAATGGCACCCCTAAAGAGAGCTTGAAGTCTTACGATGCCCATCAAATGTAATCGATACGATGATTTCTGAATTCGACCCCTTGCAAATCTCTGTATCAAGAGAGCAGCAGCATTGCGTTTCTGGATTTGCAATCGTTTGGAATATCCTCGGAAAAGCTTCTGTATGATACGTGCAGCTAACGACTTCTGGATTAGCAGATTCCGAACCAAGTGTCCCCGCCAGAAAGCCTGGATGAGCACTGCTGCAGCTAATCTGCGCTCAGTTCTTCGAGCCTGGAAACTTCGCCAAAAACGTTGAATCGTCCTGGCCCCTTTTCTTTGAGACAGAAATGCCGCTCTTAGCTTTCGATTTCTCAACCGCGACTGCAGAGCCGACACATGCCTCGACAGAATCTCGAGGACTTCCTGTTGTGATGCTCCGTTCTCATCACATTGAATGACAACTGAATCGTCATCTTCTTCAGTCCAACTGGAGATTCCACCTTTCAGAACCCGGACTCTTGTCAGCCATCCTCGCACAAATCTTTGAAGCACGATGACCATCATTTTGATCCTCTCAAATTTCATACGTTGCCTTCGTCCCTTATACCACGCTTGAATGCAAGTGGCTGCATTCTCTGGTTCACAAACAAAGATTCTCCGTTAGTGGAAGCAGTGCAAGGGTTTGCCTGGTCAGATTCACCGAATTGAGTGTGAAAACAGCTACAAAGGAAGGAACTTGCCTGAGGTCGCATCTCTAGATAAATATGATGCTTCAGGGTGAACATCCACCAACTTCAAGTTATTCATAAGACCCAAGTTCGACTCATCTTTTAAGGGGATAGGAACCACACTACTGGAGGACGGGAAATCCTGCATCACGTAAAAATTGAAGGTTGGTACAAACGGTGAAATGTTGATCCATCAAATGATCTACATCAACGACGTATTGTGACAGAACTTCTTTGATGTCAGACATGCGTCAGGAAAACTTGGAAGCGCCAACCGCCAACTTCAATTTCTACATTTGTATGTCCTAGAGTTCCTAACAGGAATAGAACTTAGAAAAAAGTGTTCGAGTGTGACGTGTGAGTTGTTACATGATAGCTTCAGTGAAAGTTTCACCTGCGGGTTTGCATTCAAAAGAGCTGAGCATAAATGAGCGACAAAAATTATAATATTGCGCTCGCTTGTGCAAGAGTCTCCATCCACCATATCTGATAGTCGAAGAACCTGTAGTAAAAACTATGCTTGATCAGACCTTTAGAATTAAAACTGAGAGATAGGCATACAAGCATAATACAAACTGATTGAAGATTTACCTCCGGAGCGATGCCTAACAATTCGGCAGCATTTTCCACCATTTGAAAGTTGTGGACTATTGCACTACGATCTCTCGAAGAGCCATTCTCACACCTTAGAAAGTTTTGAGGTTCCGAATGACCTATCTGATAGCTTTGATCACCCTGCAGTATCAACAGCCACAATGATTACAATTGAGTAACAAAGACGTGAGTGTATGTTGAAACCACTAAACATTAATTAAATAGATCATACTGGAAGTTCCTGGTATTGATATTCCAATCCAGGCATCACATAACAGAAGATGAGGGTATACAGAGAGGCTTAAACGGTTTCATACTCATGACGTAAATGACCCCAATGTAGTTTGAAAAGCGCATCAACTTAGGTCATAGGAAAAAAGGTTCAACGGAAGTAACGGCATTGGCTTGCGCTGAAAGCACTCACGTTGACATTCAAGGCTGAATTATCGGGAATCCTTATGGCTTGACAGGGCAGACAATCCGGTAGAAAGTTGCTAATGAGATGGCACAGAACTTGGCCATCTGCAAAAGATGTGCTGAAATTTTGTACCGTGACACCATCGACATTTACACAAATTGCCTGGAGCAAAATTGAGGCACAAGTGTAAGTTCTCTGAAAGGTTTCTTGCAGTCATGAAATTTTGATATGTTAATACAAGCATGACAGTGAAAGGCCTTTGACAAACAAAAGATTTACTGAAAGGCTGTCAATTTCGATTTTCTAAGTCAGATGGGACAGTAAGTCGTGGAAATAATGAGGAACTATACAATTCTGATGGGTAAGTCCTGAAGGAAAAACGAGCGTGTACCTGAACCCAGGATAATAACAAATCTAGTACTGCGTATCCTTTTGCGCCCGAATTAACGACCTGCATTTGCGAAAGTACCCAGTTATCCAACAAGTTCCAGAAGTACCTACGCCCGTTAACAGCAAAAGATCCGATAGAGCACTGAAGACCTGGTTACTTGCGTTTCTTCGACAGATATCAATAGTGAAACAGAGGACGTAGCGTGCAGGATTAACAAGCAGAAGCTAAAAAACAAAATGAGAAGTTTTAGAATGAAGTTTACCAGACCAACTCGTTCAAGATCATGAAACAGCTTGGGATGGCTCACCAAACTGGGCACCTGCAAAATTTGGGCGCATTCAAGGTCAGTAATCGTACGTCAAATGTAAAATGTGGTAGTGACACATTCAAAAACGTGGTCGGGATTCTGAAGCAACCAAAACAGGCCCCTACTAACATGTACCTGTAGATAGAGGATCAAGTTCCATATCAGAGAAAGCGTTTTTTCTCGTTGACCAGATGAGATGTGCTCAGCAGTAATAGAAGCTCCGGTTTCATCTTCCAGAAGAACACCAGACCGGGCAAAACTCTCTAACGCCAGCTCACAATTGTGCGCTCGTTTCTTGGGCGCTAGACAAGGAAACTTGATTTTCTGTACCAAAAATGATATCGATTTCAACTGAAGGATGATATAATGCGCTCTGTTGTGAACATTATCGACAAAACCTACACCAAAAAATTGGAAGGACGACATAGTTGCACGTGAGTCTAAAAACGAGGACACAAGACATTAGGCATATAAGGTGTGCATAGCGTACAGACGCTAGAGGCAAGGTGATACCGTAGATCTTACTCCACCCCAATTCCACTGGTGAATGAGAGCCAGCTTGCCACTTTTTACACAACCTTACCATCAACTTCTAGCAATAACTGCGGAGTATACTGAGGGATATTTGTCAAATGGATTTTGAATTTTCGAGCAAAACAGTTTCTACACTCACCACCAGAATGGATAAGTCATTAGACATGAGTTGCGCGAGACGGCACAAACGAACGCCATCTTGGAGGTCATCAACCACATTCCTCACTTCGAAGTCGTATTCACAAATCGGAGCCTATGCCCGGCGTTACGCAGAATCACCCAATTCATGTTAATATTTTCTTGCATAATGTACACCTTGAAGGCTCCACTCAGAATTCTATACATACTATTGTAAATCAGACAATCGCACTCCAATAGAAATCTATAGAATAAAGATTATTTATACTTAATTTTCAAATTATGCTTGTTGAAAGAAATTTTCATGTAAATGAACGTTCAAAAGTTTGATCCAAACATGTCCTATTGAAAGAATCATTGCAACCTTAACATGAAATCATAAGTACTTTCTGAGTATCTGACATGTAACCTCAATTCTTAGTTTCGAAGAGATGAGTCGCAGATCTGACCTGGATATGAGAAACATGGTAACCCAGCTTGCCGACGTGCACAATCAGATCTCCTTCTCCTTGCATGACATGTGAGAGAAAATCTGATCTCAAAAACATCAGAAACGATCAATCGCTAAGCTTTTTAAGAAGTGTGAGGCGTGATATATACTGAAAGTAACTTGTGTACTTGCTTTCAAAATGTAAAGGGGCAACTGTTTCCAAAAGACGGCACCTTCTAAAGCTTGCCGACTGGATTTGACACAACCATTAGGTTGAAATAGCAATGGCGAGCCCCCGTCGAGTCCATCAATTCCATGTTGAGCATGTAGAGCTGTCTCGCTCTTAATTTTGTCGAGTACAAGAATGAGTAGAAACGTTCTCTTCAGTATAATTTTCCCCAATTCCTCTCTGAAACCGTCACGGTATAGTCCATCTATAGACCTGCGTCAAAAAATTTTAAGTGGCAAAGGATCTTACGTACATGTTTCAGAAAACTCTCCACGAATTCATTGAACTCTGGATTATGACGGAGATAGAATGCAAGAATGTACCTGTTCGTGGCAAATTGCTTGGCAAGCGTAGAATCGCCAAAAAAATGTTCCTCAAGAAGTACTTCCAAGAAGGTAGTCTCAGGGTGATTCTCTTCATCCACAAAACCTTCCGGTGTTGACAAGTTTTTGTCACTGAATGCTATAGGACCTAAGACAACTGCCAAACCTAGTCGAAGCCAAGCAGGATTGTAGCTGAAAAGCACATCTAGAGCTTTCGTCCGTAAGGCTACATCTGTTAACACAACGCAATTGGGTTTCATCCGCAGTCTCCCATCATCAATGTACTGCACAAATGCCACAATTATAACCATGCCAACTGTGAGCAGACGGTTGACTTTTCTATCGTTCTTTAGAGCTGCAGCCAGGTTCCATACTCGACAATCTCTTTTAAAAGATGGGTAATCAAACATATTGCTTTAAACATCGCAGAACAGACAGTTACTAAATATCACGGCAAAAAGCTAAGTAGAATGTAAAGATGTGGAAATTTACCTTGGCGATCTGGGTTATAGTTGAAATTATCCTGTCACATTTGCTCTCTTCTAAATACGGAAGAAGGCGACGCTTAAGCTCCGAAAGACTACAGATTTGGTTCAGAGGAGTTTCCAGCGCATGTAAATCATTCCCAACGTTGTATTTCGTTTCCCTGGAACTTCGCAGACCAGACGTCTGAGCCTTCGATATAATCTTTCGGTTCTGGTGCACCATCGAATGAGAATTTCTGCCATCATCTGGACAATGAGCATCACCAAGTTAGAAAATTATCTGCTCAACAAGATACTGTCATACCCACATTGTCAGAGACGGAGGTCCTCAAATCTAGACCTTCAGAAGGTAAGATTGCGTAGGGACTTCGGACTGCTCAAGAATGAATTATCTGTCTTAATCGTACTATGCACAACACCTGCGCTCGTATTCCTGTTTAATTTCACTCGAATGTTTATCCAATTATAAATTAAGGAACATTATTCGGTGGACATGGCGTCTGCTAATACAACCGTTATAAGTTAGCCACCGGCATTCACAACCCAGTAACGCGAAAGCTTTAGGTCTACAAATAAGCGCATGAAACCTGGATGCGACACTGCAATCACATGACCAATGCATAGTTTGGGATTTCACTGAGAAAACAATTGACGTGAAAAAGGTGAGAGCACTCAGGGTATCGGTGCCATCAATTTAGAAAGAGGAAAGCGGAAATGTGGAGAAAGCAGTACCTGAAACGTTTCTAGCTAAATTTCGCACATGGCTGCAACTGCTATCAAAAGAAGTCGACCCTATTCCCATTCCATGGCTAGACGAAGTTCTCTCCAAGGACCCGATAGAGTGCTTTATCTCCATGACCTTCGCATTTGGATCCATCGGTTGTTTCAAAATTCTGTTCAACAAACCATTATATGCCCGCTCTTGCCGATCCATCCAGGTCTCCCGCTTCACCTGCGCGAGGCGTGAGGCCTGCAGCTCCTGGCTCTCTACTAGTTTCAGCTGCATTGATGCCCGCAACTTCATTTTCCTACCAGACATTGGAAATCGCGGCTTCTGCTGCGTGCATGGTGTCTTCCCAGAAAGACTCTCCCTCCTTCCAGAGACTGAATATCTTCGCCCAGCCATGGAATCTCTCCTGCTGATTACAGATTCTCGCCTTCCAGCAGCGAAATTACGTATCCCGGAAGCCGACTCTCGTCGTCCTCCTGGGGTCATGAAGGAGAAAGGGTTCGGAGTAGTGATACCGGGATTAGCCTTTCGCGGCGTTCTCAGTCCTGATTTACAAAGCGACGATAAGATGGTCTCTTGCGACGACCCTCGCTTCTGTTTAAGTAGCGCTTCCGCTTCATTGATACGAGCCAGAAACAGTTGCTTGATCTGATCCTCATCAACAGCGCTGTACCCATCAAACAAAGGAAGCCGCGACTTCGTCTTTGTAGCAGTCTTGCCACTGGGCGCAGTTATGATAAGTGGACTCTGGAACTTTTTGTTGGGAAGGCCCCCTTTGACGATTTCCATGCTCTTCCGTTTCTTGCTCCGAAACGGACTCTCCCTTCCTGCCATGCTAAGCTAATGATTCTTGCCAAAGAATCCCTAATCCCTCCGCCTTAGTTCCTGAAACCAAATCCATAATCCATTTCTAGAACAACTTCCTGTTTGGATCACGTAATCCTAGAGCCTCAACGACTTGGCGCAACTTTTCACGAAGAGAGATCTCACAATGCAACATCGATACATCCGTGGCATCTGTCCCATTCAGAGGGTACGGCAGGAGATAAAGGATAGCAAGGGCAACCAGACTTCAGCATCCCGCATACACTCAACCATGTTCGAGTACGCTCGGAAGGAGAGAACTGTGTCCAGTACGTGCCCTGTTCATGGAAAAACCTGCACTGCTACCAAAACATCTCCATGGCTAGAATTACGAGAGTCATCCACTTCACTAGTAACAATTGATGGTCTACGTCCCTGCCCCTTCGGAACCATCATCACACTCACAATTGCAGGTCTTATTGTGGCACTCACACAGACTCAACTAGTCGGCAGACCAAACGGCTACAACTCTCAATTTCTACGCATCATCTCATTTGGCCTCAACCCATCCACCCTGAGGCAGTATTTGCTGCCAACCAACACGCTGATTCTTAAACATCGAAACCACACGCGAATCCCAAGAGGCAGAACCTCGTAATCCTCAAGAAACCTGCGTCTTCAACCGGTGCCGAAAAACGAAACAGAACGGGGAACGGAGTCCTCTGCAAACTGGAAAACAAGCTGCAAGTCAGGCGAGAGAGCATCGCCCGCAGTGCTCAATCGGAGTTCGGACAAATAAGAAAAGCGGGAAGCAGCGACAAAAGGACCCTTTGCGCGCAAGAGCGGTGGCTGCGATGCTGGAGGTGGGTTTGAAATTCAAATTTTAGCCGCGCCAGAAAACATGGGATGAATGTCGACCTTATTTCATCAACTCGAGCGCAACGGTCACATTCTGCTTGGAATTTGTCTCCTTCTGTCCTGACAGTATATTTTGGATGATGTTGTGGATGGATAGAATAGCGAAGGACGTGCGAAATTCTGTTGATGGGTCACGTTTGCTCTCGTGCCTGGATGAAAATGTCTTGGGTACCAAATTAAGGTACCAAGATATTCGGACCCATCATGATTTCAACACCATTCTTTTGTCTTAAAATCAATGTGTATTTTAAAATTTATCACTATTTTGACAATATGACATTTTTAGTTTTAATATATTTATGTGTATACATTCATTTATATATATATATATATATATATATATTGTGTGTTTTGTATATGTTACCTTCCGTTTTTATTTTTCGAATTTTAGATATGCTTGTAATTGCTTTATAATGTGTGAGATGAAATTTCGTGTTTTATTACGTTGGACTATTCTTAATGGTATCTCCACCGTGTTATTGACAGTCAACATAGATCTTATAGTTTTACAATGCAACTCCAAATTCAGATTTAATTGAGATTTAATACAATTTGTTTTTAAAAAAGCAGTTCTTTTTAATATTTGACTAATATTATATAATAATATAGATATGGATTTTTAGTATTTAATTAGTATTTAATATTTAAGATTTTTTATGTACTAAAATTTTAGGTTTTTATTATTTTTTTATTCATATATTTTTAAATATAAATAAAGTATTTTTCTAAATTTGACTTCTTTTACTAATGTCCTACCAAATTAAAGAATATACATGTTTTTTGATACCTTACTAAAACAATCTTAAATATTAATTTTTTTATTGCTTTATTAATGATGAATAAAAAAAATATTTATTTAAAAAAACTTTGTATTAAAATCACAACTTATTGATTTATTCTTTATGAATATTAGCTTGTGATGTTGTTTAATTTATTTTTATTTTGAGCAATAGTTGATGTATTCATAAATGCTTATATATTAATACCACCAGTCTAGCATTTTTATGCTATTAAAATAATTATAAAAAATAAATTAAGATAATATATTTTGAAAATATACATATCATTGTCTTGTCATTTTAGTTACATTTTACAATCCTCTACTACATTTGATAAAATATAAAATAAATGTAATTTTTTACATCCAAAATAAACTAATGCACTTGCAAATGTTGAAAGAATACACAAAGTAATTTAATATGGTATGTAAAAATCCAAATTATATGTTTTTTGTTATCAACAATAACAAAAAAATATATAATTTAAAAGAACTTGTTGTAAAATTCTTAAGACGAATAATAATAGATAAATACATTAAATTGTGTGTAAGTAAAATAAAGATTATTAAAAGATAAGAATGGTTAAGAATCTCAAAAAAACCATGAGTATTTTTTATACACGAATTTAATATAACATAATATTTTATTTTATTTTATTTTACTTTTTGGAAGTATTAATTTATTATTAAAAATGTTTTACTTAATTTTTTTAAAAAAATTATATACATAGTAGCAAAAATCTATGCTATTAGGCACAAATAAACTATTATATTTTAATTTCTTGTGTAAAAAATTAAAAACTCCTAAAAAAACGATTATTTATTTTTAACAACAAAATAACTAGTTTAATAAAATTTCGAGGTAAACTGCATCTATTTTGATTTTTTTAGCTTTGTATATTTGAAATAAAGAATCTTAATTATATTTAAAGAAATACATTATAAATAGATAACACACAATTAGCTATATAGAAATACAAGGATTTTAAGATGTATTCTTATATTCTTCAATGATTGTCTTTGGACTTTATTAATTGCCATTATAAATGCAATATTTATTTAAAATTTCCTTTGATAGAACTTGAATAGAATTTTTCTAAACAATAGATATAACATGATCTTTGGAAGATAAGCCAATTATTCTTTGTAGTCTCAAGTTAATGATTTTTTTTCTATAACTTATTATGTCAATTGCTTAATAATCAAGCGTGATCCATTTTTAAGTTGTTAATGCAGGGCAATATTTTGCAACAACGTAATGGAACATCCAACTTTCAAATCTAACTTAAATAATAGCAATGTATGCAAACTTAAATTATTCAGATATTTATTAAGGTTAAAATTATTATTTTTGGTATTGTCTTTTATTACTACTATGTCTATATTAAAATAAATATGTAAAAGTCCAAGAAATATTTCTATAAGATGTCTAAATAGATTAAAAATATCATTTTCTTGTATAGATAAAATTAATATGTTGATTGAATATTCATTTCTACATGTCTTAGCTTCATGTGGCCTTAGATACTGATTCAATTAAAATCTTTGATATTGGACCTACTTTCATAAGTTTTAGAAGGATTGATATAATTCTTATTACATCAATAATTTTTTATCTATTTTTAATCTATAAATGAATAATATTTTTTGGTACATTGAAGCTAAAGCTTTTATTATAGAAATAATAATTTTGAAAATAATAAGAATATATAATGCATATCTTCAAAAGCTCTTCAACAAATAATCAAAGAAATGATTTACCTTTAAGTAGTATATTTTTAATCAACTTACATATTTTAATAAGAAACCAAATCTTATATCATTACAAAGAAGTATTAACAATCTCTTCTCTAAAGTCGTTTACAACTATAAAAAGAATATGTTAAAAATCTTCACCAAAGAATGTTATAATTCCTTCAAATATCTTTTTGGTACAATATATATCTTACAAGGTTCCATCATCTACCTCAAATATATTGTCAATGCTAATTGGTACCTCATTCCAAATAATAAGTACTTTCTCTAAACATCAACATATAGTACATTCTTTATTAAATTACAAAACAAATCTTTATAGAAATTGATCAATATTTTGAACATAGAATGTGCAATTTATCTACCATTTAAAGTCGAGTTCTAGTTTCAAAGAAAATATAAAATAATATAATCTTTTTTTAACTTCAAAACTTCATTATTATTGTATTATATATATATATATATATATATATATATGTTACTTTCTACTAGTCCTTCTAAAAAAATACAACTTTCCAAGATTATCATGTATCAAATCAAGTATATTCGAGTAAATAATATGCTGCTTATTATTCAATTTTTGTAAATAATATTTTAATATATTTTAATATTTATGAATAAATCTGTACTATAGTTTATATAAATATTTGAATTTTACTATTATTACTGTAGTTTCTTATTGAATACAATATAGTTGAGATATCATCAAGCATTTTGCTTAATTCTTAAAAAATCCATCAAAAATATATATATATATATATATATCTATATATATATATATATATAATCTATTATTTGTGTTTCTTTAGGATCTTAAATTGCATAGTCTTGAGTCAATTGATAATACATATCATCACAAAAGCTTTTTTAAAACTTATTCCATAGCTTCTTTGGATATGTTGGCATACATTGAAGCAAGCAAAGTAATGGCAAAAAATGCTCTTAGTTGCTTTCTTATTTCCATTATTCAAGCTTCTTCTAAACATTGATTCTACTCTTTGTTATCTTTCAAAAGTCTTATTTTTAAGTATAAAATTTTAAAAGTTATATGGAGCATTTATGGTTTGAAAATCTATAAATGAGTGAGGTCTATCTATAACTATCAAAAGAAGCCAAATAAAGTTTTTTTTTCATGTAGTAGAATTAATAAAATATAATTTTAAAATTTTAAATCCACATTATCTTGTTGTCCACTTTTTTGTGGTCTTCTTTTTCAAAAAATAATATAGAAACTTCTAATATGTGTATTTTGGTGCTATCTTCATAGATTCAAATATTTTTTTGAAATGCCATCAAAATTATTTTTTGGCTTTTTCTATGAACTAAGATTTTAGGTGTATCATCAATAGAATAGAAAATTACTTAGTATATATTGGAATGACACAGTGCCAATTGAATCACATTTGGAACCTCCTTATTTATTTTCATTTCAAAAAAATGCCATAGTAGCTTTGGAGCTCCAATATATTTTACATCAATATATTGCTTAGTTTTATCATTTTTTTTTTTTTTTTTTTTTTTTTTTTTGTACATTGTTGTACAATCATGTCTTTTACAGATGTATTTGTAGATATACTTTATATCTTGAATCAAAGCATAAATCTTAATATTGATATGAAGTTTTTAATTTTTAATAAAAAAATAGATTATATAAGATAATATTTCAATTATATACAACTTAATTATTATTGTTGAAAGTTCTTCTTTTATTTTTTTCTTCTATGGTATTGAAAACAACCTTTATCATCTTTTAATATTATATTTTGATATTATTTTGGATACATCTTTTTAATTATTTTATCAATCATATATTATGCTTTCATTATTTATATAAACAATCTCACCAATATAAGATTATTTGGATCTCACCAATACAAGATATTATTTTGATTTCTCACCTATTTTAAGACAAAATTCTCTAAATATGTAAAATTTATATGAGCTAAACTCCTATAAGAGAGTATTATTGGCTTTCGTACGAAGATATGTAAATACATGTGCTCCATTATATTGTCAAATTATCCTTCAAAACTCCTTGATTGCTTATCTTATCCATCAAAAAATTGTCTGATTAACAAAAATGGACCTTTGAAAAGTAGAACTTCAACCTTTCTAAGAAGACAATGTATAATAAATCTTAGATTTTGTCTTAATAATTGCAATTTTGGGATATTAATTTTTGGACTAACATATGGAAGTTAAAAGATAATACATAAAAAAATAAATGAAGGCAAAGAAAATAGTTCTAAGCACCATAGGCTTCATCCAAAGATGTGTCTTGTCTTAGTAAAAAAAAATACAACAATTTATTATTAAAATAGAATTTTTTTCATGATAAAATCAGTCTTTATTTAATTATTTAAATATATATATATATATATATATATATAAGTATATATATGTATAAATTCATAATATCATCTTCTTTTCATGATACCCACAATTGATCTCTAATTTTTTTAAACAATTTTTCACTTACACATTTTGACATGTTCAACACACACCCCCCTTTCTACATACTATCCCAAAAAATCACATTGTGAAAGATTCTCTTTCTTTTCAACATCATCCAGTCCACGCTCTACTTTTTTTTACATTCACTACAATATGTCCCAAAATTTATCAAAACTATTGTAAACTCAAATTATGGAAACGATGAAGGTCAAGAATAGTGTAGGTGACTTGGGGCTACCAGTCAGCACGTATGACGGACGAGAGAGGAGTTTTCGTCGGACTGAACCGTTCGTTGTGGACGGGTACTAGACGGTGGCAGGAGGGAGGGCCAGCCAATGGAAGACCCACCCACACAGCTCGAGGAAGGGGGGGAGCTTGAGCATGCGCAGACGCTTCGTTCCAACGGAAGTGAGTAGTCCATGGCGTCCCTGCAAGCATGCATCGCTGTGGCACGCGCGCCGCCCCTCTCGCACTCTCCTTGTCTCGCTCTCCTGGCTCGCGCGCTTCGGCCAATTCGCTGCACCCTGCGTCCTCAGGTGAGATTCTTGTCTGGAGACATGGCCATGGACTGGAGCTTCAATTGGACAGCGCAAGGGGTTTCGTTCCGCCGGGGGGAAATGCGTTTCCGAGTTTCATTGAAGGAAGAAGCGTCAGTGGACGCGAAGGACCAGAGAGTTGGAGCCAAGGCTATCCCCAAGCTTATGCTCGTGTCGGATTTGGACAACACCATGGTAAGTTCTTTTTCCTTTTACCTTCCATTTGATCTAATTGGAGAATTGAGTGTGCCAGCATTGAGGTGGTTTCGAGATTTCGAATTTGAGGTTATTGATGGCGGTTTAGGATGAATTTTGAATACGGCGATGGAGGGAATTCAGCACGGATTTGGTGAGCGTTAAATTTCAATTTTGACTCGGTGATGGTGTTTGAAGGAGTGTATGTTAGGGAGTTTTGTAAAAGAAAAATTAACTTCGAGTGATGGTACTTTGAGCCCTAAATTTTACTCCCAGATCCTGGCAGGTGGATCATTTGGACAAATCTCACACAGGTCTTCTCCGATTCAATAACTTGTGGGCAGCTGAGTACGCTCACAACTCTCTCTTGGTGTTCTCAACTGGTCGGTCGTTGGAGAAATACACTCAGCTGCGTACCCAGTTTCCACTTCTCACCCCTGCTCTGTGCATTTTCTCTGTCGGCACTGAGATCTGCTATGGCGCAAACATGGAGCCGGATCAGGATTGGGTGAATTATCTGAACGAGGGTTGGAACCAGGCTGTGGTTCTGGAGGAGGTCAAGCGTCTCAACCTGCGCTTGCAGGTAGGCATCGGGTCCATATTCTCAGGCTAGTACGCGCTTCTCCGAAATGCACTACATAAATTAACATTGAACTTGTCTTTCTATACATTTTATTCATGGAAGTAGACTGTTAAATTGGCATTTTTCAGTTTTGACTGCTTGTGTAACGGAAGCTGTGTTTACGAGTCTATTGCCCTGATTTTTACGAGGATGGGTGAATGGTGATCGCAGGACGATTCTGAAATTCGGCCACATAAAGTGAGCTGCCAAATTGACAAGAAAGATGCAACTGAAATTATTGATACTCTGTCAAAGCGACTGAAAGATCGCGGAGTAAGTAAGCGAAGTCCCTCTCCTCTAGTGCTAATTCGTAAGCATCATCATTGATCTAAGAGCACATCACGCTTTCTACTTATGGTTCAGAATAATCAGTTCTCCCGTTTCTTCTAATCTTATTTCTAAGGACGTTAAACAGGATGGTTTCGCTTTTCAATTCCTCCCCCTCTTACTTATTGATAGAAAAGTTTGTTCTATCATGTGCCTTCAGTTTCCAGCTCATATGGTGCTTTTGATCACTGTCACATGCGTTTGACATCCATGTGTGCACGTTGCAGTTGAATGTGAAGCTCATTTTCAGTCACGGTATCGACCTTGACGTGCTGCCGAAAGGTGCTGGCAAAGGGGAGGCTCTAGCCTTCCTTTTGCAGAAGATGAGAAGGGAAGGTTCGGCGCCACAAGAGACCTTGGTTTGTGGAGACTCTGGAAATGACATCGAACTTTTTGAAGTGGAAGGCGTGAATGGAGTCATCGTAAGCTCATGTTCATGCATGAAGATAGCAGAGAGTGATGGAGAGTTACTCTTTATGCTTTTTGCAATGCTGGCAGAGGCTTTAGCATAGCGTCGTTGTGTTGTTGCTGAATCGTGGAAAATCGCGATAAAAATAATTGTGTTTTATGAACAGTGCACGCTTATATTACTCCACATTGTATTTTACGCCTTCAGTTCGGTGCATTTTAATCAACAGCTTTGATCGCTTGTTCTAGGTTGGAGGGGCTATGGAGGAGCTAAGGCAATGGTATGATATCAATGGAAAACATAGCAGCAGATTACATCTCGCGAAGGAGCGGTGTGCTAGTGGGATAGTGGAAGCTATAGGAGAACTCTCATTAGGTCCACATTTGTCACCTTTTGACAGAATGAACTCAAATGGGATACAACCTGCTGTTAAAGCATCTGAGAAAGGGCAGCTAACGCCCTCCGGTGTTGCTCAAAGGGAGGTTGTTGAATTTAATACATTTTTCACGAAATGGATGAACGGTGAAGTGCCTAACAATCCAGAATCATTTCAGCGGCTGACGAGTGTGATAGTAAGTTTTTACTCAGCACTACCTTTTGATAGGGTTTTCATGGAGCATTTTCATGGCTTCTTCCAGACCTATGCGCAGATTTAGGAATTGGGGTTCTAGTCTTTGTTGTCACTGTTGGACTTCCATAAAGATAGAGCAAATTATTGCTGATATCTACTTTCTGATGCTTTGTATTTTTCTCAGGCTTCGGGTTCTACAATGGTGTATCCTTGGGGGGTGGAGCAAAGCCTCCTACAATCTGTTACATCTGCTCAGTCTAAGCATGGCCTCACAAAAGACAAAAAGATTCGTGTATGGATAGACTGCATTCAGGAGCAAGAGCTTGCGAATGGAGTGTTAATGGTTACTTGGCACTCGTGGCAGATGTCAGAAGGTAGTTTTCGATTTTCCGGCACATACATTTACTTGTTAGATATTATTGATTTACGAGTCTTGCAGTTTTTTTGGTTTTCCGTTTCAACCATTAGAGACTCATCAAAGTTGATGATTGTGATGTAAGTGTGATGTCATTCAGCATAAGAGAAGCTATTGGGAACGGAATTCTTCCATAGAGCTTTTGTAGCTGCTTGAGCTTTATTTCCAGATTCTGGAAAAAGACGCGTTTAATGAGAATACCGTCAAGTACGGGTTAAACACTGAATTTCATCAAAAGGATGGTGTTTGGCAGGCACTGAGCGAAAGGGCTATTTCGCAACGGCTATACTCAGGGAGAAGGTGGTTGAACAACTTATCCCTGCATGTCTAACCCGAACATCGGTTGTTAGTCTTAGCATAGCTGTATGGCTGGAAATTATCTGCTTTTATATATACTGCCAGAATCTTCTGAAAGAGTGGGATCGTAGTGTTGTTGATAATGTGTTTGTATAACTCATGACTTGTCTATTTCAACTCGTTTTGTGCTGTTGATTCTACCTTTGATAGCGTGTCGGCGGATATTTCCATAGCGTTTGGCTTTTCCAGCTATGGAATCATTAGCATCCAGATCTCCGTGTTTAATTAGCCCATGAACACCCTTTCTACAATTCTCCCGTCTAGTGGAGTATGCTGGCAGTGCTTGGCTTGTCACTGCAACAGCTGATTTTGTGCTGAACGGACTACTTCATGACCTGCATGGAAGATTCTTTAGGTGCAGCATAGTCTTTATCGCTGATTCGGCATGGCATTTCTGTGACTGGCTGGGTGCAGGAAGGGACGCCTAATGGAGTCGAATGGCTGCGAGTTCACGAAACTCCGAGGAAATCTTAAATGACATCAATTTTCCCTCCATCACCCATTATTTCAGTATTCTACGCAGTTCAGAGCTCCATCTTTCAATAATACCATGCTAATTGTTGAACTAGTTTTGACTGACGTTTTGGCAATTTAGATTAGGTTCTGTGGCACTCGAGGAACCACAAGGCACTCCAGAAAGAGCAAGTCCGAGAGATCATTTGCTGTCGAGCTACGATAATTCATGAAAAGAAGTGGGTCCTCAAATAAAGCACGTAATTGTTTTGGGTGTACTAGGAATTTGAAGGAAAGAAAAAAAAGTTAAGGTTAGAATGATGGAGATTTAGTAAAATCTTTGGTTGAAACCTTGTTATTTTCCCCTTAACTCAACAGTCAAATTCATTACATAGTGTTCATTTGTATTTAGAAAGTAGATTTATATGTGATTTAAAATATTGGGCATTATATTCTGTTTAAAATATATAGTTCAATCTTTTTGAAGGTAGTTATTCCAATGTTTGAAAATGATTTAGGCTGTGATGAAATTCTGTGGCAAGGTCAGAGAAGACCTCCAAGCATATTGTTGTTCTGACAAATGTGATGATCGTTATTAGCATCATCAAATCCGTAGCACTAACAAAACTAAATAAATCCTGAACATGGATTATACACTTTGCATGAAATGCACATGTAAATATTAAGAAAACTTGTATATGTTTGTATTATTTCACAAAAAATAAACCATAAAAAGAACGTTACAAACGACATGCAATGCAACACGAAGGATTTAATTTAAAAAGGTTATTATTAATGTCATCACAGTTTTTGCTATTGCCACCACAACTTGCCACCCACTTAATGCGTAGTTCACTCTTCTCAAACGCTCCTCTCGTATACTTCTCTAGTGTTTGATGTATTTACCACCCTCTTTACAAATTTTTGCAAGTCATTTTTTTTCATATTGTAATTAATATTGCTATCACCTTTGCAAGGAATGACACAAGGAACCACAATTTGATTTCAGCATATGCAATTCAGGTTATGCAATTGTGATAAAATGTTCCAACACCTCCCGCAATTACCTTGAGACGGTGGCAAGATGTGGGTAGGATGGCAGGTTGTGGGGTAGTATGAAAATTTGCGGTGGCATAAGCAATATTCTTAAAAAAAGAATGCAGAACACACCTCCGGAGATACTTCCACGTAAAATTTATGAGAACATTACAGATGTATTAACATATCTATCACAAACCAGAGTGAAGTCACTATTAAGAGAATACGACAAAGAGAACCACTAATGATAAATATGCATAAAAAGTAATCAATTGAAAAGCGATTTAATATCTAACAGACTAACAGTTTTTTTTTTTTTTTTTTTTTTTTTCATTTAAATGCAAACGAATTGTTCCGTGAACAGTGGGCGGAGGCATTGAGATACACAAAATCCGAGACGAACATCTGATGTGCTAGGAGTCAATGGAGAAAATGGTGGAATACAAATATAGAGCGGCATTTCAGTGTCTGAGATTGAGGAAGAATAACGCCGCATTCTGTTGTCTAGAATAGCTGTTTCTGTGCATCCACATTCACCGAGAATGAGAAAGCAAATCAATCTGGACCAAAGAATGATCAGTCACTTGGACGAGCTCGTTCTGTGGGGATTGCATCGAAAATAGGTAGAGACTAGGGATGGTATGTCCTGGAAGCCGGCCTAAATCAGCACTGCATGCATCGATAAAAAAAAGCTAGATGGTAGATAGGATGTACTGCGAACAAATTCATTACAGGTGGCCACTAATCCCCGAATGTAAGTTGTATGGCCACCAGACAGTTGCTTGCAAGTCTCAATCTCCTTCGTGCCCCCAACTGACCAAACATCCAGGGCTGCAGCCCGGTTTACTCCATCATCCCATTTGGGCAAATTGCGGTGACTCTGTAGTCTCAGCGGGGACACAGATCAGTATTTAACACTTCCTGTGAGCTCAAGTTCGCACTGGTGTCTCCTATCCCCCCACCATCAGATAAGCCTAGCGGCGCAGGATTACGGCGTAGTTTGGGAGGAATTTATCGAAGAAACTTCCGGCGCTTGCATGTACGACGACTGTGTGGCTCCTTGTCTGGTTGTACAATGCGGTGCAGCAGAGTTCGTATCACTCTGCGGTGGTGCTGCTCGCGTTTACGCATGGGTAGCATGCATTTCGGTTGCAGCGACTCTCAATGAAGAGTTCCACTCTGTTGAAGCACTAACTGCGCCACTTGTTCATGTGTGTCGTGTACCCAGCTCAAGACCACCTGCTCTCGTTGAAGTTGCAACACCCGCATCTCACCAGTTTGTTGCATACATGGGTAAAGGAGACACCAAGCAAAGGATCAGTAAGTGGTTCTGATTCTCATTCTTTCTCATTCAGTTTGCTATCAATTAGGAAAATTGTTGGAAATTGTTGAATTCATGAAAAAAGTCCACTGGAAAATAAAATGTGTTGTTTATTGGACTACTAAAAAAAAAAACTGATCAGGTCTCCCAATCACTACCTGTCATTCTATTTTATGATAATAATTTTGTGCAACAAATAATGAAGCAATAGATAAAAGGTATTACATGAATAAATTACATGAAATCTACACGATCATGACATCCAGCAGTGAATGGAACTCTCTGCTGCAGAGTATATGAAACTTTCATACAAGTTTCAAGTTGTAGCTCTTATGTTTTTTTCTTTTTTCTTTCTCGTACATGGAAATTCCTTACAGTTTTCAGATTTGTCTATTTTCAGAGCATTTAACTTGCTAGAGTTGTGATGGCTGCATCAGTGATTCGGACTAGTTTGTTGGATGCAGAATGCAATTACACAGCGGAGTTGGTCAGATAATGTGTACATTACTGTAGGTTACTTCACATCAACAATGCACAAAAGTCTGCGATGTACACGATATCTGAACTGCTACGATCACTGTGTGTTTGTTCATTTATTGCATTGCCTAGTGTGCATCAGCAGCTTGCGGGGGTTTCGAGTTCAAGAACCGTATATTCACTGATCATCTCAACAACCTTTAGCGGCAACCGACCAATTTGGCGAACAAAACAAAACCAACGACGATTATGTCTCCTTTAACAGTGGGTTCCATTGTAAGTCTTGTAGTTCTTAGATTAACAGAACTACCGACGAAGGATTCAAACTTGCAGCTGTAGTCACGACCAGTACAATTGTCGCCAGATCTAGTTGAAAATTGCTGATTCGGTTACCGACCAACTGTGAGGCTATGCAAACCAAAAAGCCCCTCGTCGATAACCATTGACAGCTGACTAATGTCAGTATGCACCTTTGCAAAACAATGCGTCAGACAGGACATGTTACTGATGTTGTGATACACCAATCCAATGCGGCATACACACCATTACATAATGTGTGATGTCATAACTTCACGATGAATACAAAAGTTCTCGTTCTTCACTCTCCCAGCGTGTTGTTTAGTCCAATGCGTTCCTATACATTTCGTTTCCACCCGAGTCGGGGCAGATTGCACAGGGATTCACACTTGGGTTCAAAACTTGGCAGTTCTAGACCGGGTTGCAAACTGCAATCCTGCACAGACTGGTGTGCTCTCTCACATTACCTGTAGAGTTTCGATTATGGGAAAAGAGAGGATCATTGAAGTTGTCCTGTGTCATTGAATCTACTTCTACTTTTGTCTGCTGCTTTCAGACCACACAGGCTGGCTGGCCGTCCCGGCACGGAGCATCAAACGCAGGTGGGCACACGCAGGTGGGAACGCGCGGTCCACATGCTACAACAACCTCCTGCTACGTCGCCCCCGCACAACCTTTACGAGAGATTGGACAATTGTGGTCCGAGTCCTCACTTTCTCTCTTTCACTTTCTGCGTCTTCCATCGTCTTCCTTAGCCATAGCTTTCTGCATGGTCGCCACCGTCGTCGTCGTCGTCCTCGCTTTTGCAACAAACTCTGATTTAGCCCCATCGTGGGCTTTAGGGTGCCAAAACTGATCAGTCCCTCATCGCCCTTCCTGCCCTCGCTCACACTGATCAGCAACGCCATAGCTGTCCCGCGACGACGACGAGTTCTACGCAAGGGCATCACAAGCATGGAACAACTTTATGGGCTTAGATTTTCTTAGATTTTCTCATATTCTTTATAATGTAAGTTATATTCTCAAAAAATATAAGAACCTCAAAAAATACCCACGTTTATTTTAAGACCTTTTAAAGTTTTTATTCTATCTAATCTTTTAATTTTTTAATGCCATAAAATAACTTTAACAATCTTAAACTTTGGCGTAATAGTTCAACTAAATAATAAAAAATTCATTAAATTAATATAAAATATGATAAATATTTTTATAATACATTATTTTAATAGTAATAATTTTGATAAAAATCCAAAGTATTCATAACATAAAAAATAAAAATAAAAATAAAAATATTGTGTACTTTATATGTACAACATATATGATATCAATGTAATATTTAAATATAAAATTCAATCTTTCAAAATAATTTTTAAAAAATTGGTTTATTGATGTATTACAATCATTTTTGGTTTTATTCTTATTATTTTAGAAAATATCTAACAACCAATTTTTTTTTTGTAATTTCTATGTATTGTTTTGAAAAAGTTTATTTATATTATAAAATATAATGTAATTTTATTTCATATTTTTAATAATTAATTTGTAAGCTTTTAATAATATAAAAAATATTCGAAGTCTCAACTTTAGAATCTAAGAAAAATTATATTTGGCATAAGTTTGTTTATTGATTATTATTTTGAATGCATTTTGATTATTTAAAAATCTTATTTTTTTAATAAATTAATAAATATTATAGTTATTACTAAATTTTCTTTAGTTATTTTACAAATATAAGTTTTAGAATCCACTCACAATTAAGAATTGATTGGATCATTTAAGAACTTGTAATATTAAAATATTTTGTGTTAATTTCAAATATACTAGAATCTAAATAATCTATTTTGAAATAATTTTTAAAAATAAAACAATTATATCATATTGTTACATGGCCAACAATAACTTTGTTCAAATATATATGTACTTTCTAAATGAAATAGCATATTAATAAAAATAATTAAATACAAATAAAAATATGTATTATTCATTATATATATAATATGTTTTAAAATTTTTTACTAGTTTATTTTTAAAATTATATATGATATTTTTTTAGATTTAAAAAATAAAAAAATAAAATACAAATTAAAAAATAATTATATATATATATATATATAAATAACATAAATACTAAGATTTATAATCTTAATATTTAAGATTCTACTTTCATGCTTAAATATTTCAAAGAGTCCTATTTATAGATTTTATCTATAATTCAAGTTTTAAAAGTTTTTTTTTTTTAGTTTTTAATTATAATCTTTAATATTATAACTAAAATAATAATATTTTAAATTTTATATATCATAGCATATTTTAAAAAAATTATATTAAGTTTTAAAAATAAAGTTATAATAGA